GAAGTATACTGACAAAATGACTTTACTCCTATCAGACCGTTCCACTTACTCTCCTACATCCCGTGATCCCACCTCATCATTAAAAACCAAATTTAACCTACACCTAAAAAATCTTTTAAATTCTAAACTCATAAACTATCCTACTTACAGAAACCTTATCTCCTACAATTCAGTTGCTCCCAGTTTTTATGGACTTCCTAAAATCCACAAATCCGGCACCCCACTCCGTCCGATCACTTCCAACATTAATTCTCCTTCTGTTAAACTTAGCAAATTCTTACTACCTTCCTTACAAATCTTCAGCCACAACAACCCTTATGATGTACAAAACTCATTCCATCTCCGTGAACAGCTACTCTCCTTTACCACTCCAGACAATTTCATTCTTTGCTCCTTCGATGTTGAAAGTTTATTTACGAACATACCCATAGACAAGGCACTTACTATAATAGACGACAATTGGACTATCATTGAACCTCACACCTCACTTAACCGCTCCTCATATCTCGAATCCCTTCATCTATGCTGTAAATCAGGCTACCTCACTTTCCAAGGACAATTTTTTAACCAAATCTCCGGACTAGCAATGGGTAACCCCCTCGCGATCTTCTAGACTCCATTATCCCTCTTTACCCTGACGATATCATCTTTATTCGAAAATACGTAGACGACCTCCTCCTAATCATCAATCCAAATAAAATTCCCGATATCCTATCACATTTTAACTCTTACCACCCCCGCCTCAATTTTACAGTACAACGCGAACTCAATAATTCTCTCCCTTTTCTCGACCTTCTAATCATTAAAAATCCCAATAACACCATATCCACAGACTGGTACACTAAACCAACTTACACTGGCAGACTCCTAAATTTCCATTCTAAACATCCCTACCACCAAAAAATTAACGTTGCGAAAAATCTCATCCACCGTAGTCTCTCCCTCTCTGATCCCCAATTTCATGTTACCAATATCAAACGCATAAAACAGATCCTGTCAAACAATAATTTTCCTCTCCATGTCATTAACAAACTTATAACAGACCACAATAATCGCTCTTCCTTAATCTCAACTTCCACTAATTCTCCACAACCCATTTCAGCCCCTATATACAGATCTCTACCTTATATTCCTAACCTTTCAGACAACATCAACAAAGTTTTACGATCTACTAACCCTAACTTACGACTTGCATTCAAATCTCACAACACACTCTCTAAATTATACACATCCCTAAAAGATCCTGTTCCTCTCTCACACCGCTCTCATATCGTTTACCGTATTCCATGTTCTACCCCCAATTGTTTTTCATCCTATATTGGTGAAACCAAAAATCTCCTAAAAGACCGCATAACCCAACATAAATATTCTGTATCCTCTCGTAATTTTACCGTTTCCAAATTATCCGAACATTCTCTCTCCCTCAATCATTCATTTGATTTCGACGAAACATCCATCCTTGCCACAGTTCTCAACCATGACAAACGACTCATTTCTGAAACCCTCCACATCCAGCTTCAACCAAAGACAGTGAATCTAAAAACTGACAAACAGAACTTTTCTTTAGCCTACTCCCAAATTCTGAATTTATTAAAACATCCATAGTTATATTCCTTCCTTTTTGCTGACAACTTCCTTATATATATATATATATATATATATATATATATATATATATATATATATATATACACACACATATATGTATGTATATGTATGTGTGTATATGTATACAGGTGTGTGTCTATATATGTATGTGTGTATATATGTGTGTGTGTATGTGTGTATGTTTGTATGTATATATATATATATATATATATATATATATATATATATATATATATATATATATATATATATATATACATACATACATACATATATATATATATATATATATATATATATATATATGTATGTATGTATGTATGTATATATGTATATATGATATATTTTTATTTCAATTATTCTCCCTTATTACTCAATAATAGTTATTTTTTCTTTTGAACTCTCCTACATCACATGTTTGTATGTATATATATATGTGAGTATATATATGTATGTATGTATATATATATATATATATATGTATATATGATATATTTTTATTTCAATTATTCTGCCTTATTACTCAATAGTTATTTTTCTTTCACTTTCTATTAACTTTCGTACAATTTTCCATAATTTTTCTGAATAATATACCTCTTGTACCTATTTACGCTTCCAGCGCTTTAGTTCAAACTTCGTCAGATAACCGTTAGAGATGACGCCACCTACACATCTCTTCTCTCTCCCCCTCCCTTGCAACGACTTTTATTTTCCCTGCGACACTTAAGGAGACAGGTACTACTTCTTTTATTTATTTCTTATTTCAGCTTTCTCAATTTCTTCCTTCCTTCCTTTCATTCCTTTTCTCTGTTTTTAACTCTTTATTATATTATACATTGTCTGCACATCTTGATAGACTTTACAATATCTCAATTTTCTATCTAACTACTCCATTCTCAATGTTTTAATTTTACTATTTATTTTTATTTCTTATATAACTTCATATTTCTTTTTTATGTTTTACATTTTATTCTAAGATTCCCATTGTAACACTTATGTCACCCTTTTTGATTATGCCTACTTCATCATTCCACACTTTGTAACGGTTTTTATTATTTATCTCTTAGTTCTTAGTCATTATTCTAACAATTTCATTTTACTTTATGTTTATCTATTTTATTTTTCTAATTTTTTTTATTTTTTATTATCTTTTTTACCATCACTACTTATGTTTCTCATACCTTGTTATCTGGTTATTTTCTTAGCCCTGATGAAGGCCTGAACTTCAGTTCGAAACGTCGGCTTTTATGTAAAAAATATTTATGTAAAAAATAAATATTATCATTTATTTTTGCCTTCCTGTTTGACTGACCACCCCAACTATTCTTCTCTTCATTATCCACGACAGTCAACCAATTACCAATTATTGATTATTTTATTCAAGTTAAAAAGTTTGAAAATATTTTTAACTTCTTTAAAACATTCAATAATAGATGGTTCATTATAAGAAGGGTTATTTTTTTACCCCTAACCACCCCTAACCACCCCAATAGTAGTTAATTCCTCTTTCTCAAATCACAAGGAAATAATTACAAAACTTAAAAATTCAGTAAAAGATATCAATATCAAATACGGTGGAAATAAAACTATTTTTTATGTACATAATAATGAAGATTTCATAAACGTCAAAAATGAACTTAATTTACTTAATCATAATTTCCATACCTATACTCCTAAACATGAGATTAAGCCTTAAGTGGTATTAAAAGGCATGCCCCCGGATTATCCTATCGAAGACATTCAGGCCGATCTAAACAGACAAGGCTTAGAGATTCACAAAATGTTTCAAATGACTAAAAAACTAGATGGTGTTGAAAAAAAATTACCATTATCAATCATTATACTAAATAATAAAGAACAATTGGTTAAACTTATTCGCATAAAATATTGTGATAATGTTGTTATATCATGGGAAAAATATGTGAGCAAAAAAGTGTTGACACAATGTTATTTATGCCAAGAATATAATCACGTAGCTCGGAACTGCTTCAAAAAACCCCGTTGTCTTAAGTGCTCCGAGGAACACTTATCAAGAGACTGCCCTAATATCATACGCGAAGACTTCGTCCCGAAGTGCAGCAACTGCAATGAAAGTCATTTCTCAGATTACGAAAAATGCCCACACTTCATACGAAACCAGCAACTGAAGCTCAGTAAGCAACGATCAATCATCCACCCTTCACAACGAAAAATATTCAAGCCAAGACAAAATGATTTTCCTTCCATACCAAAAACAGACTCAAAATGGTTTCAAAAAACATTCTCAGACAATATTAATAGAAATAACCCTTCTTATAATGAACCATCTATTATTGAATGTTTTAAAGAAGTTAAAAATATTTTCAAACTTTTTAACTTGAATAAAATAATCAATAATTGGTAATTGGTTGACTGTCGTGGATAATGAAGAGAAGAATAGTTGGGGTGGTCAGTCAAAAAGGAAGGCAAAAATAAATGATAATATTTATTTTTTACATATGCCGACGTTTCGAACTGAAGTTCAGGCCTTCATCAGGGCTAAGAAAATAACCAGATAACAAGGTATGAGAAACATAAGTAGTGATGGTAAAAAAGATAAAAAAAAATAAAAAAAATTAGAAAAATAAAATAGATAAACATAAAGTAAAATGAAATTGTTAGAATAATGACTAAGAACTAAGAGATAAATAATAAAAACCGTTACAAAGTGTGGAATGATGAAGTAGGCATAATCAAAAAGGGTGACATAAGTAATGGAGAGCGATGAGTAGGAAGACCAAAGTTAGGATGGAGTGATAGCGTGGTCAAAGATGCCAGGAAGCTAGGAGTTTGAGACTGGATGGTGGCAGCACAAAGTAGGGACACCTGGGGGATGCATTTGGTGGAGGCCATGACTCACTAAGCGGGATGTAGAGCCAGATAGATGGATAGATAATTGTTAGGAAACTCCTAAAACCTCTCCTTCTACAACAAATAACAAACTGGGAAGGCCTCTTACCATTCAGGAATAATAGCAAATGAAAGAAAAAATGAACTGGCAAGAAGGGGCTCTATTTGCACCTCAGCCAAAAGCCTAAGCTATATTAAAAGTAGAAATAAGGTGGTTTTATGACAACAGACCCAGAAAATCCTGCCATAATAAAAAAAAACAATCTCATTTGGCACTACAATACTTGAAGTTCCTCAATTTTTCTGTAAACGAAAGGTACAAAAAACAAAATAAATGAAGAGGACAGTGTACTCACATCAAACTCTGAATAGTAATACTATATTCATGCAATTCTTTCAAGGAAAATAAGGCAGGATCATGACAAATCAAATTACATTTCCATCCCAACCAATAATATTGAAAAATCATATTATAAAATGCAATTTAATTAAAAAGTAAGTTTATATATTTAGCAATTTAATACCTGCTCTTTTCCTAGCATAGTTTCCAATTCTTGTAGCATAGTTGACAGTTGATCTCTCAAAACTGACTGTGGTTCCAAAGCAATTTGATATTCTGAGCACCAAGTCGTTTGCCATGCAAGAACCTATTTAGCAAAGAATACATGCAGGATAAGTTGTCTGTTAGAATGTTAGTTATTAATATTGATGATATTTAATCTGTAAAGAAAGAAATTATTTCTTGACTTCAAATATATTAATCCCGGCTTGGATCTCAATTTATTCTGGGAAACTTAGAAATTATTATATAAGAAATAGTAGAACATAGAGAAAAAATATCCTGATTTATTCAGGAGAAGACTTTAACTCAAGAAGCAATAATTTAAATACATGCTCATTAGCAAGTGTCATGTCCAAAACTGCAGTTTAACTTTCATGTATGTCGCTCTTTATTTGTTAACCTGTAATGTGGTTTTTATTTAAAATTTTTGTAAGACTTTATAAATAGTTAAAGATTTTTATGTTAGCGTATACTGAGGTGAGTTACTATTATTAAAAATATTTATATATATATATATATATATATATATATATATATATATATATATATATATATATATTATATATATATATATATATATATATATAGTCGCATAAGGGGTGCCGAAATCTGGGACACTATCAATAGTCAGTCAGTAATAGTAATAATAATACTTTATTTATTCTGGGATGAGTCCCTTTAGAATAATACAGAAGGACAGAAATGTGGGCTAAGGAGCCTCAGAGATACATAAAAAAAATGCTGAGTAATGAAATAGTCATAATAAAAAATTATAAGTTATTTTCTAACTTAAATAAATTAATGACAAAGAAAAATTAATGAAGAACAATCTAATAATTTATATACATATTTACAGTGGTATCTATATACAATTTTATGGGGACTGGATGGATAAGAAATGATTGAACAGGCGGGATTTAAAGGTAGGAAGGTATTGGATTGTCGGATGTGGGACGAGTTCCATAGGGATGAGGAACGATCTGTCGAAAGCAACGGTTCGGTAGGCCCTAATGTAAAAATCAGAAGACCTGGAACGAGTATTGTGGGAGCGAACAGAGAATTTGAATTGGAGGAGCTCGGAGATGTATGAAGGACGGTGGGATTGGATGACTTGAAAGAGGAAGGATGGTAGGAAATACTTATGACGGTAGGAAAGATAAAGCCACTTCAACTCTACATAAAAATGGGAAACAGAGGCATCTCTTGGGATCCCGAAGATGAATTGTACAAAGCAATTTATCAAACGTTTTAGTTTCAACTCAAGATCCCCAGACGCCCCCACATACCGTACAGCAATAGTCAAAGTGGGAAAAATTAAAGAAGTGACCAGGAGTCTACGGGTTTCAAGGGGAAATAGGTGACGGAAGTAGTTTAGGCGTTTTAAGGTGGAAATGGTACGGCGGAAGATGTTGGATACATGGTTTTTCCAGGAAAGAGTTAAGTAGTGATCTATTTTTTTAAATATTATTTCTCTCTTATGCCCTCAAGCAGTGAAAAAAAGTTAAAATGGTTTGGAACGCTTCGGCGGAGAGGTAGGTGAACTCAATAATTTTTTGAAAGGTGGTGACTGCCTCATTTCCAGAATAGAGGCAAAGGTATCAGAAAACTCAGTTAACCTGGGAGACGCCGAAGCATTGAAAACAGCCCTGGTATGTAGAGTAAGGAGAAGTATCCTTAACCAGGTACAGGTGGATGAGGAGACACCATGGCCGGTAATCAAGGAGAGGCTGAAGAAGGCTTTTGGGGGAGGCAGGTGGACCCCAGAAGATGATATTTTCCAGATGTTCAGAGAGCACTGGTCGCCACGACAGACAAGTGGGCAGTATGCCGGAGTACTACTGACAAAGTACAACCGCATCACTGAGAAGATGCGCGAAATGATGAGTGCAGGTGAAGTAGAAGCCAGGATGGTGTTTCTGTCAACCATTCTTAAGGTTCAATTGGCTAAGGAAACTGGAAAGAGGGACGGCTTACCTACAGGACGGTCATTCCTAGAGTGTGCCCAAGAAATGGTCGATTTCAGCGTGAGAGAATAAGAAAATAGGACGGAGATAGAGGAAGCTGGTTGGAGCCGAGTAAACGATAGACGCTTCAGTGCCGCACCGATAGGCTGGAAGAAAAGAGAACCTGGATACGGAAACAGAGGAAGAGCCACAACAGGAGAAAGAAAACCAGGACCACCCAGACCATGAAATGGAACCTGAAAGGAAGTCATGGCTGTAGAAGGACGGGAGACCTAGTGACACAATGTCCCCACACTCAATGTTTCGAGTGCGGGACAGAAGGGCACATTGCAAGGCAATGCCTGTACCTCTTCAAAAGGAGGGAAACAGCACATGAGGAGCCGATGGAGGTCAACATGCAAAAGGTGAGGAGGAACCTTAGCCTTAGTACAACTCTGATAAGTCGGCCTTCGGAGGAAGTTATGGAGATATCAGAGGCCGAGGAGACAGAGGAGGAAGAACCAGGGAGCAGCAGAGACGAAGGAGAAATGAGCACGCAGTGAAGCGGACAGCAACGAGTGGCAGCAGGGAGGAGCAAGCAAGCGAGGATCTGAGAAGTGTGTCTGCAGAGCGACGACCGCACAGTGACATGCAATAATATAAGAGGTAAGTCTTGATGGTGTAAATCATTAAAATGAGAGGGGGAGTGAGATGCTTAGTAGACACGGGAAGGACTAGTACCATTATGAGCCGTGGGGCACTAGAGAGGCTGTGTGGTAGTGACAGGGCACCCCGGACTCAGGAATGCGATTGTAAACTAATTACCCTGGGGAGGGGGAGTGTAGCGAGGATGGAGAAGCGGTCATTGCGTTAAACCGTTGGGCAGGAAAGAAGGGTAATTTGAAGGTGCACATTGTAGGGAACATGACTCGGGAATACAAGGGTGTGACCTATTCAGACAGGTAGGGGCTAGAGTAAAGAACAGTAACGGGACTTGGAGTATTAAGCTAGGGGGAAAGACATACAGATGTAAGGAGGACACAAGGGATAAGAGGGCACGGATAGGAGCAGTAGATAGAGTCGAGGACTGGAGGAAATCCATAAAAGCGGAATTCAAAGACATTTTCTTCAAAGAGGGAGAGATACTAATTAGTAATAACCAATTAGTATCTCAATCACGATTTTCCTCCGGATAGTTTTAGTTCAAAATGACGCAATCTCTCGAATACATTTCGTAAGTGTTCTACGTGCTTAATTTCTATCTTGCGAAAGACCAACAAATCGTCCATATAGACCTGGCATATAGTTTCGTCCAAGCCCCTCAAAGACTCGTCCATTAAGTGCTGAAAAGTTATTCTTTAGTCCGAACGGCATCCAAGTAAATTCGTAATGCCCCCTTTCGAATGTAAATGCCGTTTTATGTTGGTCCTTCCAGTGCATTTTTAATAGTAGATTATGGCAGACACCCAATTATTGGTCAAAAGCAGGATGTTGCTCTAGATGATAAATTTTATAACATGAATTAGAAATTTGACGATGGAGCACATTATTATTAATTTTAAGCCTTGCATCCACAAGATTATTGGGATTGCAGTTCCGAAGATGGGAGTAAATATCCCGAAATGTCAACTAACTTGTTAACATGTAACGTTGATAATAGAAATATACTCAATTGTTACCAATTGGAAGTTATTATTGCCAAATACTAAAATTTGTTTTCAATCTTAGAAAAAGATTTTTCTAACCAAAAGTTTATATACAGTAAGAAAATGTTATTTAATTTCCTTGGAAACATGTGATTTATTTTAAATAATGTTAGTTTTCTGACATTATTATTTATAATGTTTTCGCCACTCTCCTTTACCTTCTACAACTTTCTATATTAGATATTGTGTTTTTCTAAAATTCTTCTAATGGTATATCATACACATACCTTCTGACTGGTATTTCCGGAGATTCATTTTCGACCCAAATAAGCATTTTTATTTTTTTTCTCCTTTATTCAATTATCAAATTCTTTCAAAAGTTATATTTAGCATTTTTTTTGGAGCTCTGAATAACTTGAGATGATTAATTTTTTTAAATAAACCATATTAAAGGTATTTTAAAGGAAAACATATATGAACATTGGCCATTTAAGCCCTGTAAAGTGACATCAATGGGGATAAGACCTAAATGATATTAAATACTACTTAATTATACAATGATACCCAGAGTTTGATCCAAATCGTTACAGCCGTTTTTGAGAAAATTGTAAAAATGTGTTTCACCGTTGATATAAAGTGGCACTTCTGGTTAGCCAATTTTAACGAAAAAGTTGCTGTCACATCTGACTCATACTACTTCAGTTTCGTACTACTTTTCGTTTTTGAGGTAGACTGTTAACACACACACAGACCATTTTGCGAGACTTGGTTATTTCCACTCAGGGAAACTCAAAACATGTATTTCCGTTGAAAACTGAGATTCGAAAATTTTTGCGATCATAATACTTTCCCTTACTATATATTTCATATATAGGTAAGTGAAAGTAAAAATATACAGAATTAAAATGATACTTTAGTTGTTTTATCATTTTTCCGTCTACCTAAAAACTACATATATATATAATCGTTATAATATAATTATGGTTAGTGTTAACTGTTGATGAACTATAGACTTCTTTTGCTTCTACAAGACAACATCTTTATTAATAACAATTTCAGATTAAATAATACATTAAATCTTAAAAGTACACCTACCTACAAAACAGAATAAGTTTCTATAGTCATTAGTACAATGAAACATTTACTAAACTAATATGATCTAATTGCAAACCATATCATATGGCTATTTTTATATAACATCATGTGTTAAATGTATAGATTAACTTAAATACCTTAAAGGTGGGGATTTGTTAGAACCTGAAGCTTCTTTACATCTTCCCTTCCCAAAGAAGGTTAATTTACAGAATTAACCTTGAAATTCCCTCCTGCATATGGTAGCAGTTTGATGTTATGGTATAAATTTGCGTCAGAACGCTTTCTTTCGAAATCTACTTTGTAGATTGTTTTAGAAAATTTTCTTATTATTTTAAAAGACCCCTACGTATATCTTCTTCTAGCTTATTTCGGTTTAACTTATTGCCTTCTTCTATGTACACTAAATCATTTTTTCAAATGTATTTTTTCTTGTTTATATCTATTCTTTTGGGTTACGGTTTCCTGCAAAGCCACCAATTTTGCCAAGCGACAGTATCTCAAATGGTTCTTTTGCTGGTCCTAAAAGCCCAATTTCTCTACTTCTATGCGTTTTATTCTTCTAACAAATATCACATTGATTGAAGAACTCTCCTAAAAATGCATTCATTCTTCTGAAATAATACAGAGGTCGAATCTTAGCTGCGTCCAATGCCAATGTGAACATAATAAGTGTGAATTTTTTGATTATTTGCATCCCAAAATCTTTTGATAAATAAAAATTTTTCTATTTTTAAATTTTATGTAAATGAGATTTACTTTTTTAAAAGTATTTTTCGTAGTACCGAGCTCTTCTTTATTCTGATATTGGTCTTGAAGTATGTTTTCCATGGATTCTAAGTTTACAAAGTGAAGGACATCATCTCTGTTTTCTAAATCTTCCAATACAGGATTTTTCGAGAGTTCATCTGCTTCCATCATATCCTTACCCAGTGAATATCTGACTGTGAAAGATAATAAACTAGATCGCCAACTTCTTCATCTGTTCTCGATTTCATTTTAAGATTTTCCAAGGGCTTATGGTCGGATATAACTTCGAATTTGTGACCGAGTAACCAATGTTGCCAATAGCATAGTGACTTTGATAGCTAAACACTGAAGATAAGTCACTTTTTATTTCTTTGAATAAATGTTAGCTTTTTCAAAAAATAATGTACTGGGTGTAGTTCACAATCATCCTGAGTTTGTTTTAATACAGTCCCTATACCAAAACCAATAGCATCTCTATAGTGTTAAGTGAAGCGGTTAGGATCAAAAACTGCTAAAATAGGACATGAACAGAGATATTTTTTAATTGGGAAAAGGTTTGATCGCAACCTCCTGACCATTAAAAAGGTGTGTTTTTTCTTAGAAGTTCCAGGAGTGGTTTTAAAAGTTTAGCAGCATGTGGTAAATATTTTTGATAAAAATTTATTTTCCCTGAGAATTGTCTTATATTTTTAGGCTTTGGAAACTCCTTAATTAACTTTAAATTATCATGGTGAGGCCTGACTGTGTTATTCTCCATTATATGACCTAAATATTTAACTGAGTTCAGTGTAAAGTTACATTTCTCTAGTTTTAATTTAAATCCTGCTCGTTGAACAGCCTTCATCATTTTTTCTATATTTAAGTTTTTGAAAATATTAAAATGTCATCTATATAATTCACATAACAGTCATGCAACTCTTGGTGACTAATAATATTTGCTAATACTCTCTGAAAAATTGCTGGTGAAGTTTTGAGAGCAAATGGTAAACATGTCCATTGAAAATGACCATTCTGTGTGACTATACCTTCTATCACAATAAAGTTTTTCGATATACTGTCCTCAGCTTATTTAACTTATGCTGATACATTTTTGAATTTATATATTAATTTATTTATATTAAAGAGTTTAAAGAAATTTTTAAATTCTTTTAAGCATTCTGTGATTGGAGGTTCATTATAATTCAATTAGTTTTTTTTCCTTAGAGTTTTCAGAGAATGTTTTTGGAACCATTTTAAGTCGGTTTTTGGCAATGAAGTGAAATCGTATTTTTTTTTCGGCTTAAAAATTTTCTGTTGTTAAGGGTTGATAATAGGTTGCTGTTTACTAAGCTTCAGTTGTTGATTTCTAGTGTAGTGTGAGCATTTTTGGTAATTAGAGAAGTGGTTTTCAATGCAGTTACTGTACTTCGGGACAAAATCATCGCGTCTGATATTTGGACAGTCTTTTGATAAATGTTCCTCAGAGCACTTCAAACAACTCAGTTTTTTGAAGCAGTTTCGAGCAACATGGTTCAATTATTGACATAAATAACAGTGTTAAATTTTTTTACTATTATATCTTTCCCAAGTTACTACCACATTGTTACAATATTTTATGTGATTTAATTTAACCAGTTGTTCTTTATTATTCAAAATTACTATTGTTAATGGCAATCTAGTTTCTCTTCCATCAGTTTTTTTTTTTTTTTTTCACCATGGGAAATATTTCATAAATGTCCCTTGGTGATTTAGGTCGGACAGTATATCTTCTATGGAGTAGTCTGGGGGCATACCATTAAGTACAACCATGGGATTAATTTCATGTTTTGAAGTGTGCGTGTGGAAATTTTAATTTAATAATTTTAGCTCATTTTTTTTTAATTTATAAAATCTTTGTCGTTTTAAAAAATAGTTTTGTCCCCCGCATATTTTATGTTAACTTCATTAATTGAATTTTCAAGTTTTGGTTATGATTTCCTTGTGACTCGAAAAAGTGGGGTTTACAACTATTGGAGGAAATTTAAGTACTTCAGGGTTGATAACAGTTCGAGCATCGGTCTCTTCATCTTCTTCTTCATTGGAAAAAATGGCAAAACTATTTGGGTTGGTATATTATATGTTGTTGAATCACCTTGCCTCCTTTTTGAAGAGCAAGAAGCAGCTTTGTTATCCATTTTGACTATATTCCCTGAAGGGACATTCTTGTTTGGCAAAATGTTAGAATATATAGTATAGAGTCAGAAGTTCAATAATATGTAAACTATATTCACAATAAATAATAAACGTTTAAAAAAAACAAAATAAAATTTTAAAAACTTCACAGTTAATATAGATAGTGTTCGTAGGATGTCTTTACTTTGCGGCTGCAAGAGCTCGGCTGTTTACTAGTAATTTACCTATCTGGAGTGGAGGATACATTATCGCTGATCTAGAAGAGAACAGTGCTGAAGGGAGTGACCAGCGGCATCATATTGGACGATAAAACATTATTGCATGAGATTAGCCCCCATTATTTCATCTGTATGCATAATGATAAATTACTAATTCAAAAAAGAAAAGTTTAATTATTTAAAATAACTAATTTATTCCAAATATTTCCTCACAAATATTTTATGAACTGCTCATTCACTTCAGAAAATGGTTACCGGTCACACTGAATGCACCGGGCCCTCCTATATTGTACACAAACCTTTTGGCAGGACATGGTTATTTAAGGGACCTTGAAAATTGTATTTCCATTGAAAATTCTGACTAGACATTTTTATGAGAGCAATACTTTCCCTTAGTATACATTTGATATATGGGTAGGTGAGAGTAAAAATAGGATATTTGTCACTCAAATATAGGGATGGTAAAATTGAAATTCTGAGATAGATATGATCATTACTTTACAATAAAAAAATTATTTATTGAAAACAATTTTATAAGTAACAACGATGTATCCATGATTAATTAATAAGAGTAAATCAATATTAGTGATATTTACCTTTACATATAATGGAAGTGTACAAGCTGACAGAGATGACACCACACAATCCTGTATACTAGGGTTGATACTGTGGTTATACTCTAAAATAGATGACATGAGGATTATTTCACCTTCTTCTTTACTTAAATCTGGGACCTAAAAAAAAAAAAATTGAAAATAAAAAGCTCTTCTGTTTTAAAGTGTTTAAACAACCAAATATCTGAAGAAAAAAAAATTAGGCAAAGAGAAAATTATAAATCTTCATCAAGTAATGTAGTTTAATTATGTAAACCCTAAACTCATTCATATTTTAAGCAAAAGCCAGACAATCTGAATAAATTACTTTTGCATGCTCATGCTCATGCAATAGACAAACAATATTTTTTTTAAAATTAACACATTTATATAATTTTTCAATAGATTTTAAACCTCTGACATATTTGATTTAGTTTACCAATGTCAAAATTTTTTTTTTCCTTGACTAGTATTTCTTGAGATGTTTAAATAATAAATTTTGTGAATGACGCTATTTATGAAGTTATAACAGAACAAAATCTGGTTAGAGAAACACTTGACTTTATGACTCTTATGTAGAAAAGGAAGAAAAAGAAAAGTAAATTTTATTCTGAAACATTTAGGCCTTTAAGGATAATAATAATGAACAACAGAGGTGTCATTTGCTGGCGTAAAATAATTAAACTACAGAGTGACGTAACCTTATAATTAAAATAAAGGATAACCATAAGTAACCAAATATAATTACAGATAAATAAATATCAGTAAGTATGCTTACATATTTGTACTGATTAGCATCATAGATAATATATAGATAATTATGAAATAACAGTAAAAACCACACAAATACAAAAATTAAATTCTTACATATATTAGGAAGATAAATTGCTGAGGAGACGGATATATAATTGGTGTTTAAAAGAAGTTAAAGATGCAGTTTGCATATGAAGATAGGTAAGGAATTCTAAAACAAGGTAGTAGTTCAATGATAAGGAATGTACAGGTTTACGGGCTGGAATCTCATGTTTAGAGAATGGACAGATCTACAAGGAATAATAAAATAAAGAAAGTAAGAAAATAGAGAATTGGTGTAGAAAACTTTCAGAATTTTCATTCGCTTTTCCTCTTTTATCTTAGGAATGAAGGATCGGTTTTTTATCGTTCCAACAATTTTCTGGCTATGTAAAGGTAGGCGAAAATGGGGAAATGGTGTAGAAAATTTTCTGTATTTTCATACACTTTTCCTCTTTTATCTCCTGAATAGATGCTCGGTTTTTCACTGTTCCAACAATTTTATAACGGTCTAGAGGTAGGCCAATGGAAACAGGAGTGGTACAATTTTTCTGAATTTGCATTCGGGAATGAAGGGTCAGTTTTTACCGTTCCAATAGTTTTTACATCACGAAAAAGTCAAGAAGCCATGCCTTCAAACATTCTATATCTATTCGAAATCCAATAATATTTTTGATAAATACCTATAAATGTTTAGAATGACATCATCTATAATGTTTGACAATAATAGAATATACAATGAGTACATAATTTTCAGCTTTAGCTTCCCAAATTTCACTGATTGTGATTGTATGTTATTTTAAAGAAAGAGATAGAAATTCCAACCTATTATATAACTAACAGCAAATTATGGGACATACTCATAAACTCCATTACTATATTAATAATCTTTAGAACTTACTATGTATGTGTAAATAAAGTTACGTGAATAACAGCATGTAAGTTTGGATAAATGTATATTATACTATGTGTACTACTTACAGAAATAAATTTTGCATTGGTCTTGTCTAAGTGGGTTTTGAGCTTAGATATGAGAAGGTCGGAAGTATCACTGACAGAAACAACAATCTTCACACCTTTCGGAAGTGATCTAGGTAGCCAAGTGACAACATTTAAGCCAAATTCTCTGAACTGGTCAATACCTAAGGAAGGAGAAAAATGTCAGAATATCAGAATCAGAATATTAATTGTAAAAGACACTTGCAAATAAGGCCTTGGAAGATCAGATTCTTATTTTTAGGAAAGACAAAAACATATTAAATAAAACAAGTTACATTGTAGATTCAATTTTTCAATAACATAAAAAACTTAAATGTTTTATGATTAAAAATCATAGCAGTATTAACCAAGATAAAATCACTTGTTTAAAGAAATTAATATACTAATTTATCATTGGAAATTGAACAGAAAATGACCGAGACAATATTTGTTGCTGTGTAATTATTTCTTTTAGAGTTACTATAATTTTTGAAGATGAATAATAATGAATTGTATGAATTTTCTAAATAAATTGCTATTTCCATAACTTTCTTTATGTTTCAGAAAAAAAGATACAATTGTGTCCACTTGCAATGTGATATGACAAGTGGAATAATAATTACAGTAAGATGGGATAACTTTGGGACAGCGGGTAAAATTTAATTTGTGTTGATTAAGTGGTGGATAGACAGTGTTGGTTCAGTCACAAAAACGTGCTTTGTGTAGGCATGTACTGCACTACTACCGGTGGTTTGAGAACTCTAGTTCACTATACTCATAATAAAGTTAGGTTTTATTTATTTCCATTGCTTTTTTTTTTTTTTCTCAAAACTCTTGTTTTCATGAAAATTTCGCTAGTGCCTCAAGAGTAGTTTGCCGCAAGGTAGTAGCGCAGTACATGCCTATACAAAGCATGTTTTTGCAGACTGAACCAATACAGCGTATCCACCATGGAATTACCACAACCTAAATTTTACGCGCTGCCCCAAAGTTACCCCATCTAACGGTATTCAATTTTAGCTGATAAAATTACGGTCATATTGTTTGCAGTTAAAACAATTATTAGTACGATGTAGAGATGGTTGACCGTTGATATAATATGAGAAGGAGTTGATTGGGGGGTGCGGTCAAATTAATACTAAATTAAACAAGTAAAATTATTTAATTCAGTATTAATTTGACAGCACCCCCCCCCCCCCTCCGATCAACTCCTTCTCAAATTATTAGTATGTTTATATAAAATTACACTGCGCAACAATGAAAATGTTCGGGTTAAAAAATAGTCAATTCATGTGTATTTCCATCTGCTGAATTAAAAAATCACCATAAAAATAATAGATTAGCTCTTGTTTTGAAGATGAAGTGACATTTCACGTTTTTAGGGTCAACATTTTCAATTTGGGAGAATTTTTTTTGAGAGTTGGTACACCTGTCAAATAAACACAAATGCTCTTCAGCTGTTCATAAGTCATAAACATAGTTATTATTGCCGTGGCTGTGAATTTCATATAGTTTCTACTGTAATTCATACAGAATTAATGGTTTAAGAGTGCTTTTTTAAAGTAAAATTGGTAAAAAATATGGTGAATAATTTTTTTTATATTTGTGGTTGAATAACATTTTCCTCAAAGAAACGCAATCTAGGGGGGGGGAGGCAAATGGGTAGGGTAACGGAAGGTCTAGAGAAGGAGATGGGTGCGGGAGCTCCCCCATTCTTTGCGGAACAACCGAGCATCAGTGCCCTATCCACTGCATATCAGTTTCCAGATCTCCTTATCCCTACCAATGCCTACTGTCATCTCCATGTAGTGCCTCTCGGGGAGTCCGATGGGAGTCGCGGACCACACAGGCGGGGTTCATTGCTTCCAACCATATATGTGTATGTATGTGGGATGGTTGCGATGAACCTGTTAGGCACTCAAGCTATGTTCGTGGGCTCGAGCTGAGACTGAATGGCACTGTCTTGTATCAACCCACTTGGGGCACCTGGCGACCCCCCATTGTAAGTAGCCGGCTGTAGGGAGAGGAGGTAGTACCTCCAGTCTATTTTCCCCTATACTCGTGGGAACAAGATGCAGAACGATCAAATTAAAAAACAAAAACAACAGGAATTACAGACTGGACGGACTTTTTCTTCCGAGGAAAATTCTTCTTCCACAGAAATTAAATATCCTGACCTTTCACGGGCTTCTTTTGATATTACCCTTGATGAGGCATCGAGGGGAGACACCTTTAGATCTCTCATGGCTGAAGTCGAGGGACTTCAAGTTTGTTATGAAGGCAAGGAGATTAGGAGGGTGACCACAGCTGAGGCGGGAGCTGTTGCCCTACCTCCACAAAACCTTCAAGAAACAGGCCTATCAGCAGGCCTGACAGAATCAAATATTTATATGGTAGGAGGTGGACTTGCTCCAAAAGAAGCAGTTCCTGCCACACTGAAATAATCAAAAACAATGAGAAGGCGGCAAAGAAGGAATAGAGTTGCTGCCAAAATCGTTCTAAAGACATCCAGAATTGGAACCTATAACAGGGCACTCAGGTAAGGATACAAGGGTCACCCCAGACACTTCAAACAAGGACAAGGAGTCCAATGTGTTAGTCTCGGATTCAAGAACACAACAAAAAATCAAGGAACCTAGTGGTGGGAGGGAAGACAAAGGTGCAAGGGCCAATTAAGGCCAAACAGCCCATTCCAAAGGCTCCAAGAAGATACTTTACCCAAATAGAGCCACCTTCTGGGCCACCAGCTAAAGACATAGATGTCCCTCAAGACCCTACGCCTAAGGCTGTGGAGGCCTCTGGGCGAGCCCTAAAGACTGGCAAAAGACAAAGAACCTCACTGGGCACCACCACACCTACTGCCAATCAACCCAGAGAGGCAGTTACCAAAAGCTATACATCAGCCTTGAGAGGTCAGCTGGTTGTGGTGGTTCCTACAAACTAACCGCTAGTCATGCTTGTACAGGTAGAGGCACTAAAAGAACTCATCACTGATAAGGTGGATGAGCTTGACGAACATGGAGAGTACCACCCACTTTTTGATGGCATAAGCTACAAAATGGGGGAGGTATTGTCGCATGTATGAATAATGAAACATGCACTTGGCTGGCAAAAATCATTCCAAGCATTAATCTAGCAGAGGGTATCACCCTTTGAAGAGGTGATGCTCAGAAATTTTCAAAAACCTCTAAGATATGTGCCTTCATTCTGGGAAGGGTATTTATTGAGGAGGCTCTAATAAAGAGACTGAGAATGCAGAACACCACAATTGAAGGAATAAATGAGTGGTATCTGCATTACTTAAAAGAAATGGACAAGGGATTCTTTGCTATTGTCAGAATCCCGGACTCCAACTTAGAAAGCCTTAAGAAACATGGAATGAAGGCTGGCTACGGCTGGTGCCATGTCACTTTTAAGGTCTTAAAAGAACAGAGCAGAGATGGAACTTTGATGCCACAGGAAGAGGAGGAGGTCCTGGAAGGTATTGAAATTAAAGCTCCTAACTGCGGCGGTTCAGAGGACCTACCAGAAATCTGACACTTTGCTAGTCAGATGGGAGCCAGCAGCAGTGCGGCGGGGAGAGGAAGGTTGAAATCAGATGGGGTAGCGGAAGCTCTTCAACCTGGGTGAATCTCCAGCCATCTTCGTCAACTCTGAAGCTGGTCCCTGGAAGAATAATTAAGGCAAAGGGAGTGGTGGAGTCCAATATGAAAGAAATCCAGGAGAGAAGAAACTGGAGAAGACAGTGAAAACTGTCTCCTCCACTGAAATCCTGCCACTGGAACCATCGGATAACCAACCCCCCTACCACCTTTAATATACAAAGCTTTGGGCACTGGAGGAAACCAGAGGTGGGGCTGATCCCAAAGACTCAGTTAAGGCTGGGTCTGAGGGTGAAAGCCTGTCATGGTCTCCATCCGGGAGTCCGTCCAACATGTCCGCCGATTAACTTACTTAGATAAGGCTGCTACAAATCAATCTACACCACTACATTGCTGCAAGTGAAGTCCTTCTACAATATATCAAAGGTGAGGGCATTGATATTATATTAATCCAAGAACCTTACTTAAGCAATAACAGGATCAGGGGATTGGGAATTAATAGCTATGGAACTATCTCTGTTGCCATTAATCCCAGGGCCTTTATTCTATATAAAAAATCACTAAAATTACTGCCTATTTGTTCTAGAGGTTGGGCAGCAGCCAAATACACTTCACCAAAAGACAAGAGGACACTAACCATAGTGGCGGGTCACCTATCATATGAGTCAGGAGTTCCTGCACAAGACATGGAAAATATTTTAAATTCCAACAATGAAGACAACCTGGGGCCTATTTCATAATCAAGCTAATATTATTAGTAAAAAAGTACAAATGTACAAAACTACAAAGTACAAGTACTAATAATTTTTATTTTGTGGATTGATAAGAAAAAAGTACAAGTCATTAAGTAGCTAGGTTATTTTTAGAGCGGTTAAGTTTTGATTAGATTAATTTAAAAACAGACTCAATCCATTGAACAATTATGTGTTCTCCACCGTATAGAAGAAAGAAAAACCTATCCGGACTTTTAGTCATCAGTAGATATACTTACTAGTAAATAGTAATACTACAGTACTAGTAGTTTGCATTCGTGTCATGATAACAATTTCATGTCATGATAACATGGTATAAAACTACAAAATTCAAGTTAAAAGTACAAGTTACACTGTTTCATAAAGATATTTAATAGTACACATCATATGATTTTATTAATATTTTCTTAGGCTATTAGTACAAATCTAAGTTCACTTGTAATATCTAAATATTAAAAATAGTTTTACTGAGCAATGTTAAGTGACTGTTTTTTATAGCTGATAAGGGACATCTTAATGATTGTGCCAGTCAACAAACCATTATACCTTGAAGAAAAACATTCAGAATTACAAATAACTTTAGATTGAATATGGAATAAGAACATTTTCGAATGGCATCGCCCAAATTCAAGACAATGATTTTGGAGATGATTAAAATAATATGAAAGCTTGAAAAAAAAAACAAAAAAATCGGCACAATACTGCATATTGCTCTCCATTGGCTTGAAAATAGGTAAAGATATTGTGAGGCATTGGGGGATAGGAGATGGGGGGTAAGGGAGAAGTTTTTGGCTTGAAGCCCTACAAAAAATAAAATCATATTTTATTTCATATTTTAAGATATTATTAAATATCTTTACCTATTTTCAAGCCAATGGAGAGCAATATGCAGTATTGTGCCGATTTTTTTTTTTTTTTTTTTTTCAAGCTTTCATATTATTTTAATCATCTCCAAAATCATTGTCTTGAATTTGGGCGATGCCATTCGAAAATGTTCTTATTCCATATTCAATCTAAAGTTATTTGTAATTCTGAATGTTTTTCTTCAAGGTATAATGGTTTGTTGACTGGCACAATCATTAAGATGTCCCTTATCAGCTATAAAAAACAGTCACTTAACATTGCTCAGTAAAACTATTTTTAATATTTAGATATTACAAGTGAACTTAGATTTGTACTAATAGCCTAAGAAAATATTAATAAAATCATATGATGTGTACTATTAAATATCTTTATGAAACAGTGTAACTTGTACTTTTAACTTGAATTTTGTAGTTTTATACCATGTTATCATGACATGAAATTGTTATCATGACACGAATGCAAACTACTAGTACTGTAGTATTACTATTTACTAGTAAGTATATCTACTGATGACTAAAAGTCCGGATAGGTTTTTCTTTCTTCTATACGGTGGAGAACACATAATTGTTCAATGGATTGAGTCTGTTTTTAAATTAATCTAATCAAAACTTAACCGCTCTAAAAATAACCTAGCTACTTAATGACTTGTACTTTTTTCTTATCAATCCACAAAATAAAAATTATTAGTACTTGTACTTTGTAGTTTTGTACATTTGTACTTTTTTACTAATAATATTAGCTTGATTATGAAATAGGCCCCAGGTTGTCTTCATTGTTGGAATTTAAAATATTTTCCATGTCTTGTGCAGGAACTCCTGACTCATATGATAGGTGACCCGCCACTATGGTTAGTGTCCTCTTGTCTTTTGGTGAAGTGTATTTGGCTGCTGCCCAACCTCTAGAACAAATAGGCAGTAATTTTAGTGATTTTTTATATAGAATATAAAGGCCCTGGGATTAATGGCAACAGAGATAGTTCCATAGCTATTAATTCCCAATCCCCTGATCCTGTTATTGCTTAAGTAAGGTTCTTGGATTAATATAATATCAATGCCCTCACCTTTGATATATTGTAGAAGGACTTCACTTGCAGCAATGTAGTGGTGTAGATTGATTTGTAGCAGCCTTATCTAAGTAAGTTAATCGGCGGACATGTTGGACGGACTCCCGGATGGAGACCATGACAGGCTTTCACCCTCAGACCCAGCCTTAACTGAGTCTTTGGGATCAGCCCCACCTCTGGTTTCCTCCAGTGCCCAAAGCTTTGTATATTAAAGGTGGTAGGGGGGTTGGTTATCCGATGGTTCCAGTGGCAGGATTTCAGTGGAGGAGACAGTTTTCACTGTCTTCTCCAGTTTCTTCTCTCCTGGATTTCTTTCATATTGGACTCCACCACTCCCTTTGCCTTAATTATTCTTCCAGGGACCAGCTTCAGAGTTGACGAAGATGGCTGGGAGATGGGGTGTAAGGGAGAAGTTTTTGGCTTGAAGCCCTACAAAAAATAAAATCATATTTTTGTGGGAGGAGTTTTACTGAAGCTTCCCCCCCCCCCAAAAATGAAAAAAATAATTTTGTAGGGAGAAGATTATTGGGCTAAATCCCCTTCCCAAAAAAAAAATTTCATTGGTCTGTTTGTGCTAAGTGTTGTAAACTAAACTCTGAAATAATCGAAATATATTTCCTTTTTAAATTATAAAGCATTTACGACTAATAAGTGTAAGCTTCATTAATGTTAATAGATGCTGATTCCACAAAACTATTGCATGAACTACTTTGCTGCAATTATAAATTTATTTTATTATATATATATATATATATATATATATATATATATATATATATATATATATATATTTTTTTTTTTTTTTCTTTTTTTTATCATGTATGGGGTAATGTTTTTATCATGATGATTCACTGATATCCAACTGGTGCTGCAGGTGAAAATGAAGCTGCATTTCTAGATTGGCATAGAACCTGTTCGGTTAACTATAAGTTTTTTTGTGGCTCTGCAGAAATGTGACAGTAAAATTCGTGGTACTAGTTCACATGAGTTCCGCATGGAACGAAGTTCCCAATCACTTCGATCACACTTGTTCATGGAGTGCCGAATGCGTTCGAGTTTATCCAAAAGAGAACAAAGACGACCAATCTCTTGAGTCAGTTACTATTAAGTTTCCCGCCATTTAAGTACTTCTATAACCTTAACTATGTTCAGTTCTATAGCAGAAGCCGACTTATATTAAAAATTTAGGCTACATCCTGTATCCTTAATCGAACTTGTACTTATATTACACAGCTGTGGAAAAGAAATAGTAATAGATAAAAACCTTTAGTTATTATATCTCTAAATGCTATTTCACGATATTATTTTTCATATTGATGATTTCCATTATTCATTATCTTGGAATTATGAGATATTCTTCGTCAGTTGTTTCCCCAGTACGTTAATTCCTTCCTCGAAAATAAATACGATATATATTTTTTTCTGAATGACTAAATTAAGTCTCCGTTTTCGAATTACTAAGCAAAATAACCACGAATAACAATAGTTACAGTGACAATAATTAGAGTGACTTTAATAGAGGTGTACAATAGGCATATATGGCCACAGTGCACTCATGCCACTTTAAAAAAAAAATAAAAAAATGCAATCTGACACCTCTTGTAAAGACTGCGTATCAGCACTATTTTGGTATGAAAGTAGGGGGCCAGGATAAGTCTTGGGCTCCACATATATGTTGCAATGCATGTTCAGTTACACTGCGAGAATGGATGAAAAAGAAGAAACGAATTATAGCTTTCGCTGAGCCTGTGATTTGGCGGGAGCCTGCAGATGACTGCAATTTTGTTTGACTCCATCTATAAAGGCAGGATTGTCTATGAAGAAAAGAAGAACAGTTCAATACTTGAATCTTCGATCTGCTATTCGATCCATTCTGCATTCAGATAGTTTACCAGTTCCTACTCCACCCGAAAATTGTGTTGGAAGTAGAAAATGAAGACAGTGTGGAACAAGAAGAAGAATCAAACAAGCCTTCCACATCCTGTGACCCTGATTTTGAGGAAAAAGATAAATAAACCACACAGAATGAGTCAAGCGGAATTGATTGATCTCATTAGAGACCTTGGCCTGTCAAAGGACAATGCAGAAATTTTTGGGTCTCAACTACAGCAATGGAATCTACTCGAAAGTGATGTCAAAATCTCACAGTACAGAAAACATCACAGGGAACTGCTTTCCTTTTTTGAATTCTTGTTTGCTGCAACTGAATGGAGGCTATTCGTAGAATCCTCCAAGGTCAGTTTGAAAGCTGTGTTACTTCACAATGGCAATCTTCTTTCTTCTATTGCTGTTGGTCATGCAGTTCACATGAAGGAGACATATGCAAATATGACAGCCCTCTTTGACTCACTCAAATATCATGAATACAAATGGAAAATCAGTTGTGATCTAAAAGTCATTGCCATACTCTTAGAAATGCAACTGGGATACATAAAACATTGCTACTTCTTATGCATGCAAGAAGGACGTGCCTTTAAGTACATAAGAGAGAAATTTCTGAAATTAAGTGATGCAAAAGTTAAGGAAGACATTTTAGGAGGGGGGAAAGGATCCTTGTGAAGTATCCTGCCTGCAGTTGACCAAGTTTTAGAAGGAAAAGAGAAGGAAGCTTGGGAAGCCTTCAAGGGAGCTGTTCATGGATTTTTAGGCAACAAAAGAAAAGACAACTACACGCATTTGGTGACAGTGTTCCCGCAAAAGTACCATAATCTTGGATGCAACATGTCCCTTAAAATCCATTTTCTCCACTCCCACCTGGACTTTTTTACTCCTTGCTGTGAAGCTGTTAGTGATGGACATGGAGATAGATTCCATCAGGACATTTCTGTTATGAAAGAAAGATATTAGGGCCATTGGAATGAAGCAATGCTTGTGGATTACTGTTGGTCTTTTTTTAGGGATGCTCCGGAACTCCCTTACATGAGGCAAGCTAAAAGACGGCGATCTCATGAAGACACCACATAACTCTTCAGACACAACCATCTGCGAGGTATTCTTCCAGCAATTTAGAACTCTTAGAATGTAACTACCATTTTGAAAAAATCAAATGCACTTTCAATGTTGTCAGCATATATAATTAAATGCATCTTTTTTTCTTAACCCGTTAATATGAAATACTTCCACCTAATGTATATCACAGAAACTAGAGCTAAGAAAAATTTTTCATTATTATATTCCTTTTTCTTAACCCAAAATAAGTAAGAATTGACTCATGAAGTGCTGACTGGAAACATTAAAAAATTTGTTTTTTCTAGCCCAGTGTTATTGAAAATATATTTACAAATACAAATAAACAAAACCTTAAAAGTAAGTATACCCATTTTTAGTTCATATCACAAAGTGATAGTAGGTACTTATGTATACAGTTGTGTTGTTAAAAAAAAATATTTCATAAATGTTTAGAATAAAATTTTATTGTAGAAATAGATCTTGTATCAATTTAAAAACTCTTAAAACTAAACTGTGTAAATTTAATTTTAGACTTGACAATTTATGACCAGAACATTTTAAATCTTCATTTTTCATGAAAAAATTTGCATTTATAATTAAATTCAATACTCCAATAGCCAGATTAAAAAAAAAAAAAATAAATAAAAACTAACAAAAGAAATTTTTATGTGAGTAATAAATTCCTGTCAATATTATTTCCCCCCCAATGTTTTCTAACAAAATAAGCTTCAATAGGAAATATAAACGTAGACGTTTTTGACTTAGTACCTTTTTTGTTTTCTATTTTTTAAGCTGTTTAAAATCCACAAAAGAATTATTTATAAAATACCATAGCTGAACTTAAAAATGTATCTACATTACCATCAATGATAAGAATAGTGTGCTTTTTGTTTCCACTCTTCTCAAGAGCTTGGTAGAGGCGGTTTGAGTAAGTATCTACAGTATGAGGATATGTCCATTGGTTGATGTTTTCTCCTTCCAGTTCTCTAAGGATAGACAGCAAAAGGCACACTAAGGTAGAAGAGTAACGGCTAATGCCAACCTGACGATATATCACTTCACCTTTTACCTATTAAAAAGTAAAGTATTCATAGACAGATGAAATAAACAATGGTAAATATGACATAAAATGGTTAATGTATATATATGTATCAACCTCTCCAAAGGCCCTGAAGACCTAGATGAATAGAAGGTTTTTGCGGCAACTAGACTTGCCATTAAGGACGAAATAAAAAAAACAAAACAACAGGCAGCATTGCTGGAAACTGAGAGTATTATCAGGAAATTCCAAAATATCAAAGAATTTTGAAAATATATAAATATAATTTTTGGCTGACCAAATAGGTCCTCAATTATTATAACTAATAGATACCATTGTATAAATTTAAGAGAGTGGGGTAGCCGGGCATTGCTTTGGCAACATCATGATAAACCAAACATTACGCGTTCAAATCCAGGAGCCAGTTGGACTTATAACTCGGCATGATTCCCCCGGCTAGTGTTACTCAAAATCGGTGCACTTTGCAAGACCAAGACCAAGCTCGCCTAATTGTTGCAAGACCAAGACTGATAAAAAACAATATATTTTTTGTGAATAAAAATTAAGGCAAACTAGTTACTAATGCTAGATAATTTTAGTTACTATATGTAAAGAATAGGTAGATCCAATATAATTTTGTATTCAATTCTCCAATTTTTCAATTGGGTTTAGTTAGGTTTCTCCTATGTTATTTTTAACGAACATGTCATGGAAAGTCATGTGAGTGGACACAGCAGGTTCTTATTTAAATAATTGGTGACATTATATAGATTGACTTTATTCTACAACTCTTCCATTCTAAAGTGAGGGGCCTATGACAATGCTTTTAATGTATTGTCAACTTAATTTTGTTAATATGATTGGATTTTACTATGTTTATGTCAATAAAATATCTAAATGTACTTAATCTGTAATGTTTTTTACGATCTAAAGTAATATGTTTTATAAATAGCAATAAGCTAATAGGTAACTGCAAGTTGCAAAAGTCTTGTGACTAAGACTCGTCTTGCATTTGGGCAACACTACCCCCGGCCCTGTGTAGCCTGAAAGACCACGAAGCGGAGACAAACAAAAAATTATAAATGTATATATCTGTTTCCTGTTTTTATGAAGAGTTGAAGTTTGCTTATCCTTCCTACCGTTGTACTTCCAAGCATCCTTCCCCTTCCAAGTCGTTCAATCCCGCCGTCCTTCATACATCTCTGAGCTTCTTCAATTGAAACCCTCTGTTCTCTCCTGCAATACCCATTCAGATTTATATAGTCTTCAGATTTATATACTATGGCCCATTGAACAGCTGCTTTCGACAAATCTTTCAATATTCAATCCTCATAAATTTTTTTAATCGATTAAAGTTAGAAGGTAACTTATACTTTTTTATTATCTTGTTTTTTTTTTTTTTATTAATGAAGCACTGGGCCTGGACGGGCAGTATATTCCAATATTCAACGATTGCTCTGGGAGTTTTTCGCTTGTATACCTTTAATACCACGTCCATGACAATGTTAAACAGAAGTGGACTGAGGCTATCTCCTTTCTTGACTCCTTTATAAAATCTGAATGGAGCAGACTTCATTCCATTCAATCTAACCACGCCTTTTGGATCCTGGTAAACTGATTTAATGGCACTAATGAGTTTCGGCGGTATCCTCTTCTCCGGTAAGACAGTCCAAATCTCCTGTCTGGGGACTGAGTCAAAGGCCATTCTGAGGTCCAAAAAGGCAAGGTAAACATTTTGTCCTCGGTTCAACGCTTTCTCCGTAACCATCCTGAGAGAGAAGATATGGTCCTGGTTTGTCTTGAAGGCCAGAAAGCAGCTTGTTCTTCTTCCATGTTAGGATCGACATATGCTCTCAGTCGCTGCTCCAGGATCCTTGTGTATACCTTATACACCACCAAAGAGAGACATATGGGCCTATACTTTTCACATAGGGTCTGGTCTCCCTTCTTGTATACAGGAATAATTAAATTTTTTTCCCATTCGTTAGGTATGGTCCGAGAGTTCCATATCCTCTGAAACAGGTTCTGTAATCCTTTCACCAAAGCTGGTCCCCCAAACTTTACAAGTTCTGGTGCTATGCCATCTATTCCTGCAGCTTTTCCAAGCTTGATATGTGCCACTGCATCCTCCACCTTTTCTTCTTGGATTGTGTCATACATATCCTCAGGCTGTATGTACACTGTCTTCGGGCAGTGTCTTCTATCCACTATCTGGTCACTTCTTTACACCTCCAATGAGAATTTCGTCTCATAGTATTTCGGACATACTTCCGAAATCTCTTTTTCTGCCTTTACAAGCTGACCTTGATTATGCTTAATGTTCCGGACCTGTTTTCCTTTCTTCCATATCATGCGTTTCACAGTAGTCCAGAACTTCCGGATATTCTCCTAGTAATTTTCCTTAATCTCCTATCCAAAATCCTCCAAGGCTTTACTCCAATCTTGCTTCAAGGTTGCTTTTGCAATGTTCCGCCTTCTCAGGTATGCTTCCCAGTCCTCAGGTGATTTAGACCTCTTGAAAGCCGCCCAAGCCATTTTCTTCTCATTCACCACTCTGGCAACTTCATCATTCCACCATTTTGTTATCCTGGTGCTTGGCCTGATCTTTATTCCACAGACTTCCAAACCAGCTTTACAGATGCAATCTCTGATTGAGCTCCATAAGGGAGCTAGTGCCATGTCATAATTCCATATATTCCTGCCTTTTATTTTCCTGTTGCAGAGTTTCAATTGACATCATATCATATACCTCCCTCTTAACTTTTCTAGGCTTTATAATCCTTGTGTCAGCAACCAGAAGATTTTGTTCTTTGTATCTTCCCCTCCAAATCTACCTATAACACCATGTGATCAATTATGATCTTTCCCCCGGTTCTTGCATTTAGGTCTCCCATGAGGATGATATTCCTATTTCTAGTGTTTGCCAAGTCAACAGTTTGCTTAAGGTCCTCATAGAAGTTCTCCAAATCTCCGACACTGTTATCCTCTGTAGGAGCATATACTTCAATATAACCTAACTCCCATAGTGAGTTCAATATCCATTACAATGATTCTGGACCATACATTCTCTTGACCTCCTCAACGAGCTCTGCCTCTTTACCAGTGAACATCCTTGTCCATGCCATGTCTTTTCCTTGTTGATCGTCCAACTTCGAGGCTATATTTGTCACTTTAAATCTTATATACTCTGAGTGGGGGATTGGCTCAAGCCCCAGAGGCCCTGTATCCTTGGGACAACTGGCCTCCAGAATATTTATTCCCCCTCCGGAGGAAGGGTGGACGGGCTATACTCCCTAATACTGGGTCCCGCAACCTGAAGGGCCAGCGGCTGTTTGCAGTCCAAGGACTGGGTGATGGGGTCGCCACATCTTTATGCCAAGAAATGTTGACCTGCAGGATCTTTTCATATTATAGAGGAAACCTGTTTGGATATACATTCTTCCAGCTGCTTCTAGTAAAATTAATACCTCCCCATCTTATCAATATAACCCTTTTCATTAAACCAAGCATCTAAATCCTGGACCTGCTTCTGGCAACCTCAAGATAATTTTCATTACAATGCAGACTTGCCTTCTTACTTTCATTCATTTTATTTTCTCCGAGTAAAAATCCAAATTGATGTTGGATAGCTCCTCTTGACCAACGTTTTACATACCATTCTAGATACATTTTTTTACTTTATATCTTTTTATTTTTTATAACATCATATACATAATCTCTTTTGTCCGATTGGTCCAATCGCTCTGTGAGCATATGGTGAATGGATTACCCCAGGCTATATTCTATAAGAGAACTGTCGGAAATGTTCAGTCTAAGTGGATCAATTTTTGTACATTTAGTTGATTTAATAAAAATGTGTGTATGATCAATTTTTTTTATTCAAGTATACATTTCAGATATTGTATCAGAATCCTATTAAGAGCTCTTGAAAAAAAAAAGAACAAAGACAAATTCCATATAATAAAAAAAAGTAATATATTTATACAAATATTTAAGAAAACATTTTTTTTAAACTAAGGAATTACAAAAAAATAAATGAATTACCATAAAAAAAGGGGGTAAGAAGCCACGGATAAATAACATAGGTGAATTTTATCCATTGCTTTATTCGTTAAAATAAATCATATTTAATAAAATAATCAAATTCATGTGAACCTTGTAAGCCTGGGATGGTAGTTACCCCTTTTTTAGAAAATGTTGGGGATAACTAGACCACCCCTGCCTGATAAACAACAATAAGAATAAGTAAATTTGTGGGTAAACAGTAATTAGAATATTTGCAAACAAAAACATTGATTATGTTTATGTATAATAAGTAATAAAGAAACAAGCACTTACCAAGAAGTTTATCATGTACCCTGTTATACAATTTTAAATATATCAAATCATGGATTATATACATAAAAAAACAACAAAAAAATACAAACTCAGAACTTGCTTTTTGGCTCAGATCAGATTAACTCCATCAGATGTTGATCATTGCAGTATCAAACAAAATTAATTTTATAGGATAAATGATGGAGTGGAAGTCCATTAAATATTCGAAAACACATTGTTTGATAAAATAGTTTCTTATAAATTATTGAAGCTCTCACAACTATTGGTATCAAATACTAATGACTCCTAATGAAAAAATAGTTTTTGTTCTAGAGATAATCAAAGAAGATAAAGGTGTGTTAAAAAAAGTAACATGGTAATGCCAATGAATATCGTTATGAATAATCAATGCCATAGTTCCGCCCTGGGCTTAGAAATCCCTTTTAATGTATTTAATGTATTTTTCTAATTTAATGTATCACAAAAAATTAACATATTTCACTTCTTACTTCCTTGTTGCAGTAACAGGCTAGTCTTTGCTGTATAGGCAATCCCTTTGGGGAGAACTTGGCAAAGTCCCTCCACCCACTCCTTCTGGTTCAAGAACAGTGTCAAATCCGGCCTAGATTCACGGATTATGGCAGTGCAGGGTCAGCAGGCACACACAAATTTATATTTTTTCCCCAAAACTGCCTTTTTTTTTTGCCCAAGACTGCCCATGAATCAATCCCCTGAAGTGCTATTGGAATCCTGGAAAACCACATTGTAATTCCCGATTCAGGTACACGTTTATTTATTTACATGGGATCCCATTAAAAGGCTTATCATTTATACACCCGGTCAGTGTGAATTTTCTCCTGTAGAATGACAAGCTTCATATACAGGAGGGGGCATCGTCCTGAGAGTTCTAGGCTGCATGAAAACCCTAGAGGGTGGTCACCCGATTCGGGTTGTCTCCCTTCCAAGTACTTACCACGTTCGACATTGCTTAACTAACTCTTTGCAATATCAGGCCTCTGATAACTAATGATTAAAATATTATAATATCCTAATCATACTATGAGTAGCCTAATAAAAAGTATGTGTTGTAGTTTATTGTTTAATATAATTACTTTTTCAAGATAAAACTTTTTTTCACCTTTCAGGGAGAGGAAAGACACCTCCCACATCCTCTACCTGGATCCTTTATTGGTGTTACAATAGTTCATAAAACAAAAAAAAACTGAGAGCTTGCTTTTTGGCTCAGATACAAAAAAAAACAAAAAAAAAAACAAACAGAACTAGCTTTTTGGCTCATATCAGATTAACTCCATCACATGTTGATCATTGTGGTAACAAACAAAATTAATTTTATACATAACTCCCCATTTTTTGAGAGAAGGTCCAGTTCACAATAATATTTGTAGTTATTTACTGTTAAAAGACATTTAAATATCAGTTTCTCTTTTGTGATTTCCTAACAGCAAGAATAACTTTCTTGTAGAAACTTAAGAGAGAATCACTTTATTATCATAAAAGGGTGCTGCCCAATTACATTGGGTTGCTTTAAACACAGCATACTTATTAATCGCTACAGACAATTTTCCAAAACTGATTATTTATAACCGAAATATACAAATATTAATTACATGTGACACCAGCCGAGCAAGTAAAGCGGATTTTCCACAGCCCTCAGGACCAGTAAAAACTATTACACCATCTCCTTCAGACCTTAAAAAAAAAAAAAAAAGGCATCAAGAGAATAATTATAATAATAATAAAAATGGTAAACTTCAATTTCATCAGGTACATACTTTTCTACGAGGTCTAGGAGAGTCTGTCTATTAGTGCCACAAAGAGAATTTTTCTGAGCTGATCTTCTATGCCAGGTGATTTCCTTAGCTATTTCTAACCCAGTTAAACAACTCTAAAATATGAAGACAATGTTAATATTAAATAATGGAAAATTTTCAAATAGTTGAGTACATTGATCATAAAAATCAATTTTAAATTTTATACCACAATTACTCAGATTTATTGGCGATTTTATTGAAACCAAACATATATTTGGATCGGGTGTAAACAGTATCTACGGTTAGCGGCAAATGTCAGACATTAGGCGAATCCTCTTTATGTCTTAGTGAGTTAACGGAGCGGGATTTGCGTATAAAAATCCACATTATTGAGCAGTCAATGCCAAGTTATGATTGAATTATTGCTTGTAATATTCTACAGTGAGTGGGTTTAAAGGTGAGAGGAGTTAACCATAAGGAGTCCTGTTTAGCAAATCCGCTACTTAGGATTTGGATAAAAGGTTCCACTTGGATAAATGTCTTACTGGAAATCCTCATACTAGACTGAAAAGAAAAGAAACTGCTCGAAATTTCCGACTGCTCCAACACTTACTAGACAAATACTCTAAACTTTCAATTAATTACAAAAGACTTATCTACATAACTATAATAAGACCTATACGGACATAGGGAGTTGAGCTTAGGGGCTCCACAAAACCATCGAATTCCTATCGTATCCAATCATTACAATCCAAAATCCTTCGTAAAATCCATACTTTGTCACAAATAAAACCATTCATAAAGACCTTAATGTACCATAGGTCGCTGATTTAGCATGAGCCAGATATCTATCCTTTCATGATACACTCCAGTCCCATCCAAATCCTCTTGTTTCCACCTTTACTTCTTCCTCGATTCCTAATAATCCTCCAAGGCGTCTGAAAAGGAGATGGCCTCGTGATCTTCTTACCTAGAATTATTTAGGGAGTGCTACTACTGGGTAGTATCTCTTCAAGCCTGTTCATGTCATTATTTCTAATTTGTGCATATTTACTAGTTGTATTTCTATACAGTTGTAAATTTCATTAAATAAAAAAAAAAAAAAACAACTATAAGAAGTGACGTTAAAAAATAGGGAAATGGGTGTACCGAATTAGAAAGAAGGGAAATCACGAAGACATTGAAAACGGGGCCGTGGAATGTACAAAACAGACAATTACACAGTTAGTGGAACAAAACAAAGCCTTATTCTACAAAGAAAACGAAGTTTTGCCAACAACCGGGAAAACGGTACATCAAATAAACCTGAAAACAGAATCCCCAATTTACGTTAAGGACAGATAATTCAGATATAGCAATAATAGTCCTTTATGGGTAATTGAGAAGAAACAAGGTGAACAGGAAGGTGGACCAAAGAAATCCGAAGAAATGGAAAAGAAAAAACCGAGTAGTAGTGGACTGCCGGAAGCTGAACAAAATGACAAAAGACGAACGTTACCACCTCCCTCAGGTAGAGGATATATTGGATCGACAGTAGGGAGCAAATATTTTCAGTGCTCTGGACCTCAAAAGTAGTTACCACCAAGTTAGAATTGCGGAGGAGGATATTGGGAAAAAGCCATTGTTTAGGCAACTTTTCAAATTAAGGCAAGGCAAATAACTCTCATGAGTTCATAATAGGCAACATTCAAAATTTATAGGGCAAAATTTTACTTTTATGCAGTGCACTGTATTTTAATGGACTGGTAGGTTATACTGATTGTGCAAAAATAGCTTACCATATTTATGTCAGCTTACATCTGTTTGTTACCTGAGGGCCCTCAAGTGCAGATGTTGTCTCCGTGGCTACTAGTGCTGGAATGCTCTCCAAGAAACCGGCAGCTCGTGATGATTAAGTGTTATCTCTTAAACCTTCTGATCTGCCTCCACCACTTCACCAATCACCAGTCGTAATGAGGGAAATTTGAACCATTTTCACACAAACAGGCATTCTCATGGGAACGGGGCCATTCTGAATTTGTCAGGATGCCATTCGGGTTAAAAGGGGCCCTATTAACATTCTAAAGACTCATGGACGAGCTACAGAGAGGATTAGGGGAAGATTTTTCCCAAGTCTATATAGCCCTGGAGCCAGGGCCCAAAAATCGACCTGATCGCAGGCGAAGGTTTGATTGTAAATTACGAAAGTGTATGTTATTCTGAGTAAAAAAACCTTGTCTGACGTTCCAGAGCCGCTGCTTTCAAAAATGGCGGCTAATTTAAAGAATATTAGGCCAGTAATTTGAGGATCGAAACGAGTAATCCATAGCGAAAAATATGTATATAGGGATTTAGACATGTAAAAAACAAAATTGCTAACGCAGGCCACCAAGGAAAAACTTTTTACAGCCAAAAAAGTCAGATTTTGTTCGATATTTTTTTGGTTTTTTATCTATAACTCCTAAACAATGCATCAAAGCGAAAAATTTACTCTTTAATAAATTATAGAACGTTAAATTTTGCGTCAAACGAGTACATAAACTTTAAAATTTGTTTTTGCGATAAGGTATAAAACTACGGTCAACCAACGCTGAGTTTTACCAAATTTGTCAAAAACTCAGACAAATTACTATAAATGGTCCTTTAACTTGGAAATGAGTTCCCTGAGAGGAAAAACTCATAGAATCAAAATTGTAGAGCATCAAATTTCCCTTTGATGCATCGTTTAGGAGTTATAGATAAAAAACTAAAAAAATATCGAACAAATCTGACTTTTTTGGCTGTAAAAAGTTTTTCCTTGGTGGTCCGCGTTAGCAATTTTGTTTTTTACGTGTCTAAACCAATATATAAAAGTTAAAAAAAATAAAAACTTTTCTCACTTTTCTTCGCAACGGATTTCCCGCTTCCATCCTCAAATTGTCGGCCTAATATTCTTTAAATCAGCCGTCATTTTTGAAAGCAGCGGCTCTGGAACGGCAGAAAATGTTCTTTTTACTCAGAATAACATACACTTTCGTAATTTGCAATCAAACCTTCGCCTGCGATCAGGTCGATTTTTGAGCCCTGGCTCCAGGGCTAATATGGATAACCTTATCGTTTTCAGCAAAACTGAGAAAGAATACATTCAACATCAAAGGCAAGTTGTCTATGCCAGGTTCGGTAGGTGTGTCCTCTTCGTCAATCACATTTACTACCCACTCCCGCGACAACCAGTCGGCAACCGCATTGTCAACTCTTTTTTCATGAACAATGTGGAAATTATACGCCACTAGGCGTTCTTTCCAATGTGAAACCTGCGCGGATGATTCTCTAATAGGGTCTAAGGACAGTGCGAGTTTGTGATCAGTGACTAGATCGAACCGTCTTCCGTATATGTAGGGACGAATGTATGCTATTGCCCAAACTACTGCTAATAATTCGCGTTCGATAGCGCTGTAATGACGTTCGGCGTCACTTAACTTTCGGCTTGCATATATCGGTTTTTCTCCTCTTTCGTTATCCTGTGACAACACTGCCCAAATAGCAATTTCGCTCGCGTCTGTGGTGACTTTAAATGGCGTGCGGAAATCAAGAAAAGCTACCAGCGGACGAGTGGTAAGAATCTCACGACATTTCTGAATACTCGATAATTGCTCTGGCCCCAGTTGAAACCTTCTCCATTTTTTTAATATTTATGTTAACGGGTGAATTATTTCTGCTATTCCTGGAATGAATTTCCGATAATAATAGTTAACCATACCCAGAAAATATCGCAACTCCGAGAGCATTTTTGATAAGGATCAGGTAGGACCCTGCTGAAGGAAACTAAGTTTTCCAAAAATTGAATTTCCTTTAGCCAAAATTTATATTTTTCTCGAGATAATTTAAGTCCGAATTCGAGTACTCTCTTGAAAACTTTCCTTAAATGTTGAACGTGTTCTTTCTCAGTTTTGCTGGAAATGATAAGGTCGTCCATATAGACTTAGGGAAAATTTTTCCCTAATCCTCTCTGTAGCTCGTTCATGAGTCTTTGGAATGTTAATGGGGCTCCTTTTAAACCGAATGTCATCCTGACAAATTCAGCGTGGCCCTGTTCCCGATACCCTCCTCCGGCATTCTAAGTTGGTGGTAACCACTTTTGATGTCCAGAGTATTGAAAATATTTGCTCCTGACAGTAGATCCAATATATCCTCTACCCGCGGGAGAGGGTAACGTTCGTCTCTTGTCGCTTCGTTCAGATTCCGGTAGTCCACTACTTCTCGATATTTCTTTGGTCCACCTTCCTGTTCACCTTGTTTCTTCTCAACTATAAATAAAGGACTATTAAGCGGAGAATTGTTATATCTGATAATTCATTGTTTCCGTAACTTTTCCAATTGTTCCCTGATAGTTTCTCTCATGGCTTGGGGATACCGACTGTCCATAACGTAGATTGGGGATTCTGTCTTCAGGTTCGATGTACCGTTTTCTCGTTTGTGTGCAAAACTTCGCTTTCTTTGTAGAATAAATTTTTGTTTTGTTCCACTAAGGGAGCGGGGTAGCTCAGTGGGTGAGCACTGACTTCCAGAGCTCAAGGTCCTGGGTTTGAATCCTACTAATGACTAGTCATTTTTCATTAGCCGTGGATCGACTCTGGGATCGGGAGACCATCCTGGGGCACACCCAGCCTCTATAAAGTGGGTACCCTTAATTAAAAAATAATTAAGGGGAAAAACCTGGCGGTTGAGCGTGATATCGGTCCTATCACCTCCCTGCACAACCTTTGGCCTTGAAACAGTACTTCCTCACATAGTACTGCATCCAAGACCCTTCATGGGTTGTAGCGGTACAGGTTTATTCCACTAATTGTGTAATCGCTTATTTTGTACATTCCACGGTCCTGATTTTAATGTCTTCGTGATTTCCCTTATGTGTAATTCTGTACACTCGTTTCCTTATTTTATAACGCCACTCCTTATGGTTAACTCTCATCTTTAAACCCACTCGCTGTAAAATATCACAACCAATAATTAAATCATAACTTGGCATTAACTGCCCAATAATGTAGATTTTTATATGCAAATCCCGCTCCGTTAACTCACTAAGACATAAAGAGAATTCGCCTAAGGTCTGAAATTTGCCGCTAACCGTGGATACTACACATCTGCACTGTTTACATCTTATTGCTCGGGTGGA